TTAAGTAGTGATTAATTATTTATATCTGAGAAATTAAAACAAACTGTATTAATTCATAAATATACAATTTATTAAGTTGTAAGTATGATGTCGTAAGGTTTTAAAGCAAAGTACAATAGTAAAGCTATTGTATTAAAACAATAACTCACTTTGAAATTTTTTTTGCTAAGACAGACGTCGAGGTGGCAGTGTAGCTTCTTTAGCTGTAGTCTTCATTACTAATGTATTTATTTCTCATGAAGTTAATTAGTTCTATAAAACTTTTGTCAAACAAGTTTTATTATCTGTAAAAGCTAACAATAAACACATACTTATCTAGATAATACATTGACCAAATGATGCTGATTTAAAATGATATATCGCTGAATCCTTCAAGTTTGCTTATAGCCTAATTAGGTAGCCTTATGATGGCGTCATTGCCGGTAGTTTTAATATATCACATTTCCTACGTATAGTCACCGTATGGTTGCTCAAACCATATGTTGGACTTATTTACTTAAAGCAGCAATTCTATTTTAAAAACCTAAATTAAGTTTTAAATCCTATATTAGGTAATAATACTAACGGTCAATTAAGTATCACTTGAGGAATTTTAGTTTCAAAACCGTTTCCCGAAAGTGAATCTCAGTTAACTGTTTAGTTTAAGTTGTTTTGCACAGGTGATTACGATTCAATATCAAACATTATTGCATCAATAAACTGAAATATTTTATTTCTGCATAAAACCGCGGATCAAATTTATTAATTTCTAACAATTGAATTGATTGCGAATATTTTATCCCTAAGGTAAAGAAAGATAAGAGTATGATCTTACTCCACATATTAGAAATCTAATGAGAGCAAAAAAATCTGCCTTGTATATCAACTGCTCAACTAAATCGAAAAATAATAAACTTAAAATGAACAGCTATCTTCTTAATCGTTCTGTAAAATAAACTGCTATCTTCTTAATCGTTCTGTAAAAACTGAAATATTTAAAGCAAAAAGAGCACACAAAAATGAAATAATATTAACATCCCTCTGAATAATTTCCGTCGTTAAAAAAGTGATAGTAACCTGAATGAACTTAAAATGACTACTTGGGTTTTTCTATTTCAGACATTATTAACTTACCAATCTAAACCCCTATAAATATTTTTTTCCTTTTAAAAAATCTTTTATAAATTCTTTTATTCTGTAATACTACTCACTCTTTAGAAATTAGCAAATTTTAGTTCGGTCTATAAAAAAATGGAAAATAAATTACTTGCTGAAAACTATCAACCTATTTCATTCTGTTGCCGGCTTCTTATTTAACAACTGATAAAACCTTCGTTAAATCTATTCAACGCAAAGCAAAAAAATTGACTTTCAGCTTAAGACATCTTTAATATTGCAAAATACTAAGAAGAATAAATCTACCATCATTGACTAAGTGTAAGTGAGTATTTATTTACATCATTGGGTAAGTGCTTTGGTTGGGTCAGCGATAAGTTTAGAGCTAAGAGAAGTTTTCCGGACTTTTTCCCCGCATTTTACACATTGAAAATGTCCGCATTTTTGCATTTTACTCGTGTCCACCATAACATATTATGATTTCTCATTTAAAATATAATTGCTGAACTTATGTATATTTGCATTACATATTAGCGTAGCAACTGCGAAAAGATCTTTAAACACATTAAAACACATTTTTTTTTTGCTCTTTATTACAATATTTATGATACAGATACAAATAATATAAAAAAGAAAAAAGAAAAGGTAACAAGTCAAGATATCGTTAAGTAATAAAGAATAAAAATAATTATGAAGAACGCGGATACTCAAAGAAGACCATCAGGTCTTGTCACAGAGAAACCGCTATTGAACGTTTTTTTTTTTTATTAAATTTTTTATTTATTTTTTTCAATGTTTTCATTCTTTATATTTATTTATTTTTGTTCAAATTCTTTTTATTACAAAATTAATTTTAATAATAAAAGTATATAAAGTTCGTAATATCATATTATAAATAAACATACAATATTACAAAAACGTAAAAACTAAAACATGTTAAAATTCATTAAAATAAAACATGTTAAATAAATGCTTGTTGATAAAAAATAAATAAATAAAAAAGAATGTACATTAAATGTATACATATACTAATATAGATAAGGGATTTTCAAAAATTTAAAAGTAGATTAGTATATTTTCAGTTGAAAAAATTAGTTTTTTAAGATTTTGTTTAAAAGAATCAAAATTACATTCTTGAGAAAAATCTTTAGAAGTGTTTAGAACTATACTATTCCATAAAAATGGTCCGCAAAATGAAATAAAAAATTTTCCAAATTAGTTTGAGAAAATGGTTGTCTAATTAAATTATCGTTCCTTAGAATATATTTATTTCTATCTTTTTGTAAATACAAGTTACGAAAAGAAACGGGTGATAGGTGGGTCTTGCATTTATACATAAAACAAAGAATATTAAAAACATTCAACTCATATATATTGAGTGCTTTCATATCATATAAAAGAGGCTTGGCGTGAGCAAAACGGTTCTTAAAATTTATAAGACGTGCTACATGTTTCTGTTGCCGATAGAGAGGTTTAAGTTTACTTTTAAAAGTGCTACCCCAAGCAATGTTTGCATAGTTGATATGGCAATGAATTAACGAATAATATAATTGAATTAAGGCATTTTTATCAAGAACGTTTCTTATTTTGTATAGTATGGCTTTACTCTTTGAAATTTTACTGCACAAGTTGGCAATGTGGCATTTCCATGTAAGATTTTCATCGATATATACAACTAAAAATCTTGTCACTAAAACTCTATTAATAACTATGTTATCGATAAATACAAAAGGTAAGTTGCTAGGCAACTGGTGCTTTTTACCATAAAGATGAAAAAGAGGAACTCCACATGAAATATTTAACAAACTAGATGATACGTTATCATCCGCATAAACAAATTGTTTTCGATTATTTAGGTAACTTTTTAGCCAAATTAATATTTTTCCAGTAATTCCGTACCACTCCAACTTTTTAAAAAGAATTTCGTGATCTATAGTATCAAAAGCTTTCGCCAAATCAATAAAAACAGCTAAAGTAGATTGAGAATTTTCAAATGAGTCAGATATATTTCTTGTAAATTGTAGAATGGCATGTTCAGTAGAATTATTTTTTTGGAATCCATATTGATTGAAAATTAAGGACAATAATGGCGAAAATCATTTTGTCTGCACTTTATAGCTACTGAAGCAGAAATAGCAGCTCAATTAAAACAAAAAGGTGTTATAGAACAATTTGCAGCTATAAAGACAAGAAAAAAAGCTTTCATTAGATTTTTTATAAAACTTGCAAAGTGTAACATATCAATTTCGCCAAAGTGTTGATTCTCTACCTCAAAACAGACTTATGGTATTAAGATATTTTTAATATTAAAATTAAGATAATAATTTCTCTTAGCCCTAAACTTATCGCTGCCCCAACCACTCAACCAACTTACTCAATGATGTAAAAAAATACTCACTTATAAAAACTGGTTTTTGTTTAATTAAATTAAAATTGTATTTAAAAATAAGATTTTGTTCTCATGAATTATTTTTGTCAAGAAAAGAAAAGGGACGGCGAGGCAAGCAGAGAGGGGACCCGTATTAAAATTTTGCAGGAAAGTCTATTTTTTATTGCTACGTTACTGCTCTATACTATACACCAACAAGGTAACAGAAACACACCAAATAGTAAACTTCACTTTATACATATTAAAATATATATCAACTAAAATTTAACATGATTTCCTCAACAATCATTATTTAATGGTATTATTCATTAATCAATTGCTATAATTTAATTCATTATGCTAACCATTAAGATAGTTAGAATTTTCAAGTATAAAATGTGTAGCAAATAAGAGGTTTAATTATTATATTAATGTTTTAGCACATTTGCTATTCTGATAACAATTCATAAATAATTATTAATGTCAGTTTTAAAATTACTTATTTTTTATCAGAACTGGATGTTCTTAAGGACTTC